GTCACTGTAACAATTGCCGTGATTTCCTTGCGTGTGTGTGTGTGTGTGTGTGTAACCCTTGGAATCATAGGGATCCTTTCGGATTTTTTAGCAGGGGGACACGGCACCAGATTGCAGACCGTGTCTAACAAAGCTATGCAATCTGGTGGGATATCCAGCTTGGCCAGCTGGACGTACCTGCACTTTTCCTTCTTTTCTGCATGGCATGAGGCTAAGCCAAGAACCTCACTCGGCAGACAAGTACGACCGTCGTCACCCTGTCACTTCGTCGTCGCCTTGAGACTTTGGCCTCCTTTCCTTTTAAGACCTCCAGGTTTCGATGGTCCTTACTGGTACTCTTAGGAAGTGGAGCCCTAGGCCGGCGTGTGGCACCGCTTTCAGTTCAGTACACAATATCCTAAGTGTGTTTGGCCTTGTGCCAACCCGGGATGAGCCCGCAGAGTGCCTCCCGTGGACCCGTCGAACGGGTGTACGTCGTTATCTCCCCTGCCCGGAGATGTAGATGCCCAGAGCGGGCGAAGGTGGCCTAGGCCGTACGTACGATGATCTTTGTCTCATCTTTGGAATTCCAAGTTGGCTCACGCCTTTACGTGACCGCAGCGGTCCAAGCTGGCTTCACGCCTCAACGTGGTCAGAGCGACCGAAGCATTTTCGAGGTTCATTGGAACCTGTGGAGAACTTAGCCCCCTTCTCCCCCTTCCCTCCCCCCTTCCTCTCTTTGCTTTCTGGGGTTTTCTTGAATGTTATACTCAGGATCTCCCCTTTCTTTCTTTGGTGTGTCCCTGGACGATTGTTCGTAGCTGGGAACACCTTCCTTTCCTCTCCCTTTCTCTCCCTCTCTCTTTCTTTCCTTCTCTCTTTCCTCTCTTCACCCTCCTTCCTGGGTGTCCCTGGATGCTTCGTCATAGCTGGGAGCCCTTCTTTTTGGTGTGTCCCTGGACGCATGTGCCGTAGCTGGGAGCACCTTTGTCTCCTTCTTTCTTTCCCTCTCTTTTCTTCCTCCCCCTGCCCCCTCTTTCCTCGCGCGCGGCGTGTTTACAAGCAAACTAGGCTTCTGCAACAGGTTTTCTAATGAGGTTTGGTTTGTCATCGGTTTGTCCCCGTTCATTTGGTTCCCCTTTCATCGGCCCCCACAGACGGTTTTTTCCTCTTTTCTTTCATGTCTTTCTGTCTTCATGTCTCTTCATCCTCATCCTTTCTTTCTCTTGCGCGCACTATCGTCCGGACCGTAGTTTGTACACATACACGCACGCGTACTTTACTTACAGCAAGGTTCAGGTGGCCCAGGTTCGTTACAATGAGGTTTGGCTCATCGGTTGTCCCTCTTCACTTGGTTCCTTTTCATCTGCAACCACACACACCTTTGTCTGTCTTGTCCTTCTCCTTTTCATCTTTCCCTTTTGCGTGCACATGTGCCTACCTCCTTTCCGGGCAGGATGGAGGTCACACATGCCTCCCTTCGGGGAGGCGTGTGTGTGTAACCCTTGGAATCATAGGGATCCTTTCGGATTTTTTAGCAGGGGGACACGGCACCAGATTGCAGACCGTGTCTAACAAAGCTATGCAATCTGGTGGGATATCCAGCTTGGCCAGCTGGACGTACCTGCACTTTCCCTTCTTTTCTGCATGGCATGAGGCTAAGCCAAGAACGACCGTCGTCACCCTGTCACTTCGTCGTCGCCTTGAGACTTTGGCCTCCTTTCCTTTTAAGACCTCCAGGTTTCGATGGTCCTTACTGGTACTCTTAGGAAGTGGAACCCTAGGCCGGCGTGTGGCACCGCTTTCAGTTCAGTACACAATATCCTAAGTGTGTGTGTCACCCTCCGTTTCTAGGAGTTTAAATCCATGTGTTCCGCAGCAGGGGCGTCAGGCTCGACACACCTACCTGACGCAATGAAGCTATGGTGTGTCGAGGGAAGTGAGAGCTGATCACTCTCATGTACCTCCAACACATTGACTCCACTGGTTCCCCTCGGCCGCTGTATTTTGCTTCCATGGTGGTTCTCATGATGCTTCCCCCAAACCATTTTCTTTCAGCCGCTTTCAGCTGCTGCGCGTTTGCAGACAAGTGAACACTTTGTTAAACCTTCCAAGTGAGCTGACTTCGCCACCTTGCGTTTCCATCGTTCATTTCTCCGAGGAACAGGGTGTGATCTCCTGCAAGGGATCGCTGAAGCCACCGTGGATCACTTTTGGCTATTGTGTTTCTGCACACGTTGGATTCTCACTAACTGATTAAGTGTCTCACCCCATGAATCTACTGCCGCAACACTGCCGAGTTTACGGGGCTTTGATGCCGCCGGGCTTCCGGTCATATAAATGCCACACACACGCACAACCCCCCCACCTTGCACGCGAATTCACACTTCTTATCCCACCCTCTAATTAGAGTAAAAAGGAAATCGCACTCAACACGCTTGTGTGTTGGTGCCTTTCCTTCTGTTTCTCCTGTCCTAGTCTTTCCTACCCGGGCGGTCTAAGACTAAAGTCCCGCCCGCTAACTATTGCACCTAAGTCATTCGGCTAAGTAGTCAGTAGCTAGAAGGTTTCATAACTAGTGGGCCTCGAAACTACTCCATACTACTCCTATCTTTCTCTCTTGCCTTCTTCGTTTGCTCTTTCCATGTTTTCCTTTCCTTTCTTTCTAAGGCTTGTTAGGTGGTTAGTATTTCTCTTCAGCGCCGATATCGGCCCTCTGTGTGTGGCACCCTCCGTTTCTAGGAGTTCAAATCCATGTGTTCTGCAGCAGGGGCGTCAGGCTCGACACACCTACCTGACGCAACGAAGCTATGGTGTGTCGAGGGAAGTGAGAGCTGATCACTCTCCACCTGCGACCAACACATTGACTCCACTGGCTCCCCTCGGCCGCTGTATTTTGCTTCCATGGTGGCTCTCATGATACTTCCCCCGAACCATTTTCCTTCAGCCGCTTTCAGCTGCCGCGCGTTTGCAGACAAGTGAACACTTTGTTACACCTTCAGCTGACTTCGCCACCTTGCGTTTCCATCGTTCATTTCTCCGAGGAACAGAGGTCACGGAAAACCCATTGTCGAAGTGTGTGTTTCTGTATTTTTTGATATTTTTTTGTTTACCTTAAAGTTCAACTAATGTATTTATACATGATTATATGTATAATTTTTATACACACATATATACACATATTTGATAGATCCGTCTAGGACTCTAAGACCGCGACACGCAAAAACCACCGTGCCTTTTTTGTTTCACCACCTGGAGGATCTTTCAATCGCCCACCGCTGAGGTTGCCCGCTGGGCCGATGCGCGGCATGCGCTCCGACCGCTGGGCCCTTCCGACATCCTTTGGGGCAGATGAACTTGGGTGGAGTGGTCTGGGTCGTATTACGGTGGTTTTGCAGGTGTGCACTGAGTGAAGTGGAGGAATGAAAATAGGTGGAGGAAGGGTGATTTTTTCAGATCTGTTTTGTGTTCTTTCATTGGTTGTCCAAGTCTACCACTGACTCCGACCACAAATAAGGACTGGATCCACCAGGGCCCATGGTATCCTGTGGACTCGACGAACCGCCAAGAGCTGAAGCTTGAGTGAAAGGAACTCAGGTACCGAAGGACAAAGACATCAAAAACCGAACTCGTTGTAACTCATCCACTCAGCCGCTTTAAGACTTCAAGACGTTTCGATCACAGCAGGGTTCAAAAACACATAGGGCGCAGGACTCAAGTTCAATGCCTAAGGCTGCAGAAGCATCCAGCAATATGTTCACGGGCTTGTGACTGGTTTTCGGGCCAATGTCTTCCCCCAGTGCTCAGCCGTGAATCAGATGTTCCGCGAAAGTCTGAAGGTTTACGACTCGCTTTGACTCCTGTCCTTGTGAAGACGTCAGGACTTTCCCCAGGCGGAGGTAGAAGGACAACGGTGAGCCATTCACGCAATTCACTTTACCCATCAGAGTCTTGTACTGGGCCTTCGCGTGTCACAACGTTCACCCAATAAAGGACGGAATGGCGCGAGTAGGGGGATGATGGTCCAAATGGAGCACTGCCAGACAGAACAAGAGCATGGGACCAAGGATAGGCTTCCTAGTTCACTATAGTTCTCTGACCAGGTGACTGCCGTAGTAAGTGTAAGGTCAGCATGGCGCCACTGATGGATTCCCCACATTCCCAACGGTCCAATCATGCGCACGATGTTCACGTGCAGTGCCGAGCCATGGTCTTTGTGATGGCTGCCGCGCCGGAGGTTCCGGCACCTGGATTGCAGAGGAAAGGACTGGTGGGATCCCATCGCTTTAGCGGTCCGCCAGAGATTGAGCTTCAATGCTTTCAATCCTCACAACAGCTCGTGGAGTGCCCTACTTTGACCATCTGATCCACCAGAGACTCGGATCCTGTCAGGCATTGCCGCCCCAGGCGATCCAACTGTCCGTTCTGATGCTGCCACTGGACGAGAAGAAGCACAAGAACATTCAGAGTCTTGCAGCCTTTCAAGTCATCTTAAGGGTTCTAATGATGCATAACACTGGTTCTAACCATCATCAACCAGCCGTCAAGTGCAAAAAAAGCCGGCAGCACCGGGTCCCCCTGTTCCTCAAAAATGGCTGACCGTTGCACCATTGCGAGACACAGTCATTCGGCTTTTGTACAGGAGGTTGTAGGCGACAGAGGGCTGAGAGCCAGTCTTTTTGTTCGGCGCGAGTGGCGATGTTAGCATGTCTGAATTCAAGTCCCAGAGAAAGATGGCGAGTTCTGTGGTTCTACACGAATTGAGGCAGTTTTGTCAGCCAAACGCATGGCGCTGAAATCAGCTTGGACCGAGCCGCGGCACTCCTGAGGCTTGGAAGCTCCTTCTGTGGCTTGGGCACACTGGCCTATGCGAGTGGCTTCCGATGCCAGCGCCCGGTGGATGAGCCTCAGCCCTAGCCGCCCTAGCCGCCCTAGCCCTGCGTACGCCGGACCACGAGCTCTGTGTTCGAGGGTTGTTGTCTCCGGAGTGCACCGACGAGGTTCGCGGCAAACGGTGAGTTGGCTTGGAATCGCCTTCGGTAGATCCGCGCGATCATTGAATTTGTCTACTGCAACTGTTCATTGTAAACTTGACAATTTCATATTTCATGTGTACAAAATCTGATTCCATCCTCACCACCCTCCACTCCCAATCAAGCATGTTATGACGGACGTCATTGGCTGTTTCCGCTGTGTGTTAACTAGCATACAGCACATAGGCAGCAATTGAGGCATCATGAGAATCATGAGTAGCAAATCATAGGATGTGAGCCGGAGACTGTTCTAACTCAAGAAGAAACATGTCAGCTGTTTCAAGCAAAACGAGGCTCCAACGGGGTGCGACGGTCGGTGCTTGCACGCTGGGTTCGGTGACTGTCCTAAGGAGGGTTGGTGGCATTGTGCTTGACCTCGTTATTTTTGATTGTGGTGTTCGCAGAGTAGCTTTGGGAAGGACACAAGATTAGGTCAGCTCCTGTGAATCCAAGAGGTCTTAGCTACAGTCGTCCGCTCCTTTCTCTGACAGCGTCCAAATGGCGCGCGCGGGAGTCGTCCCAATTCGAACAACACACCGCACACCTTCGCCGGGTACTGTGCCGAACACTGTCCGACTCACATTCTTTGATTTGGTACTCATTTGCTGCCAAAAAACCCATGTGCTATGGTTAGCAAACACGGCGGAAGCAGTCAAAGAGTCAAAGATGTCCGATGTCATCGCCCTCATAAGATGCTTGATCGGGAGTGGAGGGGAGGGTGGTGAGGGTGGAGTCAGATTATGTACATATATGTATATATAAACTTATCAACTTTCCTTCAAGGGGGCCTCTTCCCAACAAGTTTCCCAAGAATGTGGCATGAGTTTGTGGATATCTTTGCCTCTCAGGAAAATGCGTGCCATGGTTGCAAGCAGTTTGGACAAATGGGGCTGCCAGGACCAAGGACGCACTCAACCTAAAGTCTCTTGAGGCAGCACCCTTTTCTTTTTCAAGTGATTTACTTCCGGCCGATTCCAGCAATCCTGCTCCCAATGGTCCAGTGGCTAGATGGCTACTGTATGCTACTGTCAACAGTGGCTCATTCGACAGGGGATTGCTTAGGTGCTTCCCGAGCCCCATCGAGCTATCTGCCTGAACTACTGCAGGTCCATCTGCATGAGTATGTCTTCTCAAATCACATGCCAGGACCACGATTTTGGGGTGGGTGGATATGGGCATCCTTCTTCCTCCGTTCTGGGAAGACGGTGGTTCTAGCATACCATTTTCCCTGGCCGCTGGTTTACAAACAGGGGTTTGTGGGGTTCTCAGGTTCGGAGGCGGCATTCGTTTAACCTGAATGCGCAGTGCTTCAACTCAGGTTTTATTTTGTCGGTGGCCTCTTCATTGGCTTCGTCCTGTTGGAGATCCTTGCAGCGCGGCGCCTCGCGGGAGCGCACGTGGTGCAGGGTCCAGAGCACACGTATGTACGATGATGTAAGCCAGTTTTTGGTGGCAAAAACGGTGGATTCCCAGCAAGGTCACTTAATAAGGCATCTCAAACAGGCCAATTCCAGTAGGAATTCTTCCAGGCCTTGCTGATGGCCTTGGACTTGGTTCCGAACCTGGGCCCGCCAGAGATCTATGTAGTTGCTAGGCCCGCACCAGTGATCGATGTGGCGGACGGATGCATGGGATGCCAAGGCATGCCCAGGCGACCCATCCACTCACCAGACCGGACCTGTAGTTACCAGCTTCCGGTTTTTACTCCACCCAAGTGAAGGAAAAACAGGACCTGCCGCTCGGTTTGAACGCCTCAAGGCTTGGTTCGCGACAAGGCTCAAAGACCACGACAAAAAAAAAACTGCCCATGCAGTAGAGAAACTGACCCATCCTTCCATTCCTGCCATCTCATTGACCCTTCTCGCATCTCATCCCCTCTGAAGGCCCTGCTCTTGGCGCTGCTGGCTGTTGCACTTCTGCGGCTTGCCTGGGGCAAGGTAGGCTTCTGCGCTCGGGTGTGGTGCGGAACCTCTTGGAGGGCTAGCAACAGAGTCGAGAAAAGCACGGAATGCAGCCTTCAGGCTTAGGGGCCTTGACAAGGTTGAATGAGGTTGAATGAGTGGCTCAGCAAGAATTCCCAAACTCCAAGAGTTCGAAGGATGTACATGACGCAGATGGCAGAGGATTGCCACACTTCCTTGCCACCAGTAGCCATTTTGGCTGGATCTCACTTCCATCCGGCCGGGACGTCTCCCACCAAAACGCCATGTTCGCCTGTTCGCTGCTGTTCGTATGGGCGACCTCTTCGATCGCCGACGGGCATTCCTATTTGGCCCAGCCGGCCTCCCGAAACTTGCTGGCCAACCTCGATGGTGAAGAGACCTGCCCGCACTGCTTGCAGTCGGGTGGCCCGGACAACGTCCAGGAAAGAGGCCAGGGCATGTGGCCCACGCGCTTGGCGCCAGAGTCTCATGGCCTGTGTGGCGACCCTGTGCAAGGGAAGAGCAACTCTTCGGGGTACAAAGGCAAGCTTACACATGTTTGCTTTTGTTTTAGGGTGCCATGATGGTGTGGTGTGGGTGCTGTGGGCGCCATTCTTCTTCATCTTCATACTTAATCGACTTAATCTGTGCCTACTCCTCGGCTTCTGCCTACTCCTCAGTTGAGGTAATCCCCCGACCTTCAAGGATGAGACCTACCTCAAGAAGGGCCCCATTACTGCCACCTATCGAGCGGGCGAGATCGTGGAATTCCAGATCGCGGTGCCTACCGGAGGGGGTTGAGATGGGCGCTTTTCGAGGGTCGAGCGAGACGGGCTTGGCCCTCGGGAGGGGCCTCTTTCTTGGGTTTTTGTGGCGGATTTGGCGGATGATTTAAGATGGTAATATAAGGGAAAAAGCTAGGCATCATTCTGCAAACCAGCTCGATGAGAATGAGAACCCCACTAGCTGGTGGCGGATTCTGCGCCCTCTCCGTCTTGTTTGGACACCAAGTGCATATGTATTGTAAAACTGTATATCTAATGGATTGATTAATTTGTGAAGCACCAGCTTGTAGATTCTAGGAGGCGATGGTTTGGAAATAGAAGCATGCTTGTACTGCAACAATGTTGAAGCACACGTTCCAGCGTGCTTCGAGCATCCCTTTTTGCTCGAAGTGGAGCATCGACTCAGCGTTGCGATCGACCCCAGGTCAGCACCCACCACATGGGTCACTATGAGTTCCGGATTTGTGACGCCGGGTGTGCAAGAAATCGCGGCATGCTTGGGATAGATATTTTGGTGGGCTTGTGTTAGATGACCAGACACCACGATTCCTATAGGTGGGTTCGAGTTGCGACTTAGCTGCCGGTGCAGGTGGCAAGAACATGCAAGAACAGTGTTAGGAAGTCCAGGTGCCTCCTCCAGAATTCGATCAGCATTTGTCACCTGGTTCAGTGTTGAACTCTCCTTCAAGAATTCCCTGCACACTTTCCTTTGCTGTTCAAAACATGGTTATTTGATACGGTATATGACGCATCGAGAAAGTTGAAAGAGAAGACCTCTCGAGGGAAGCGATGGCCTCCAACCTACTAGCGCTGGCCTCCAACCTGCTAGCGATGGCCGCCACCCTAGAAGCGATGGCCTCCAACCTACTAGCGATGGCCTCCAACCTACTACCGATGGCCTCCAACCTACTAGCGCTGGTAACCTACTAGCGATGGCCGCCACCCTACTAGCGATGGCCTCCAACCTACTAATGATGGCCTCCAACCTACTAGCAATGGATGACCTCCAACCTACTAGCGATGGCCTCCAACCTACTAGCGATGGCCTCTAACCTACTAGCAATGGCCTCCAACCTACTAACGCTGGCCTCCAACCTACTAGCAATGGCCCCTAACCTACTAGCAATGGCCTCCAACCTACTAGCGCTGGCCTCCAACCTACCAGCAATGGCCTCTAACCTACGAGCAATGGCCTCCAACCTACTGACGATGGCCTCCAACCTACTAGCAATGGCATCTAACCTACTAGAAATGGCCTCCAACCTACTAGCGATGGCCTCCAACCTACTGGCGATGGCCTCCAACCTACTAGCAATGGCATCTAACCTACTAGCAATGGCCTCCAACCTACTGGCGATGGCCTCCAACCTAGTAGCAATGGCATCTAACCTACTAGCAATGGCCTCCAACCTACTAGCG